CCTCCAGCCCGGGCCGTGCCTTCCTTCCAAGTGAGCCTTGTCCTCCAGTGGCTCTTAGCTCTGCCCCAGGGAAAGCCACTCACCAGGCGGCCACCTGTCCCCTCAGGTGACTGCCTCTACCTTGGAGCTACTCTGAACTTGGCAAGAAAGTTGCCTATGCCCTCCCTGTTTGATGTTCGACAGAACGTGGCCCTGTATGGGGTCCTTCGGCTAGGTGAGAGTGATGAGCCAGCCCTGGGCAGGTGGCCTGGCTGGGGGTTGCTGGGTCCAGAGTCAGTGGCTGGGCATGCATGTCCTGCTGTAGCCTCCACTCTCCAAGGCTCTGTGGGTCTAGCTGGCCTCCCCCTGCCTTCCCCAGTCCCTGTTGGAGATCACACCGAGAACTGTGGGCCCTGCACCTGCTGAGGGCCCAGAACACCAGCCCTTACTCATCTCCAAGTGACATCCAGTGGTCTGCCCTGTTCTCAGAAGACCAGTCCTATTAGATACCAGACTGGGGGTGTTTCATCACATGCCTTTTAACTGCACGCCACCTGATCGGGCGTGCAAGCAGGGGGGGTGGAGGAGGGCAGAGGCCCCTGCTTACCGCTCTCCTTGTCACGATCGCTGAGCCACTCAGAAGCCTCTAGGCTGCCTCTCCGGGCTTCAGGGCCCTTGAAGTTGAACCATGACCCGAAGTTCAGCCTCCCCGGCCCCTGGCCCTTGGCCTGACCCCCTGCAGAATCTTCTCCAGCGCTGGTCCATCGGCTGCCTCTGGCCCCTGTTTCCTTCCTCCCAAGGATCCCCTGACATTCACTCCATGGCTCCTCTCATCCGCTCCATCCTGCTGGTGGGCCCCTCCGGCATGGGGAAGAAGATGCTTGTCAATGCTGTGTGCACAGAAACCAGCGCCAACCTGTTCGACCTATCGCCCAACAACCTGCAGGGCAAATGCTCGGGCAAGAATGGGGTGCAGATGATAGTGCACATGGTCTTCAAGGTCGGGCAGTTCTGGTTCTCCGACTCGTGCCCCGGACCAGGGTGGCCTTTGTTCCGTAGGAGCTCACCCGTTGACCTATGTGGTGTGACCCAAGACTGAACCCGTGAGGTCTCCCTACCTCCCCCTGCCATGAGCGGGGATTCCTCCCGAAGCCCCTGCAGTGGGGAAGGTAGGAAGGCGGCAAGGAGGCATGATATGCAATGCCCCTCTCACAGAGGGCTGTGCCACTGGCCACAGAGTCCAGTTCACACGGGGGTGTCACCTATGAGCACAGGCCCAGAGGGCAGGGTTGCTAGGATGTAGGGAGCGGAGATCTGGGGACTCCAAGGTCAGTCATTGCCCAAGGCCTGCCCAGGTGCTTTGGGGACGTGCCCCATGCCCGGGGACATCGCAGGTCTGAGTTTGCCTCCCTGCCCCTCTCCCAGGTGGCCCGGCTCCTGCAGCCGTCCGTGATCTGGATTGGAAATGCTGAGAAGAACTTCTATAAGAAGGTCCCGAAGGAAGAGAGGAAGGTGAGGAGCTGTGGGTGTGAAAGATTTCATGGACAGCCAGCAGGAGCCGGGGCAAGACCCGAGGGCTTAGGCTTGTTCCATTCACTGCATACCTCTCCCCCGCCACCTTGCATAAATCCCCTGTGCCTCATGTGCCCTGCTTCCTGGGCTCTAGGGGGGGCTGCCAGACCCCCCACACACACACACACCTCCCTCAGGACTGAGTGTGGGCTATGCTCTGAGCTGAGGGGTCCAGGTGGCCCGGTAGCCACGTCTCAGCCCACTGCCATACCTCCCTGGAGCAGATGGACCCAAAGCGAATTAAGAAGGACCTCACCAGGGCCGTACGGCTGCTGGCTCCTGGAGACCGTGTGATGCTGATAGGGACAACCAGTAGGCCACAGCTGGCCGAAATGAAAGGGCTGTGCCGGGTCTATGAGCGAGTCCTCTTCATCCCGCGGCCTGACTATGCTTCTCGCTTTGGTGAGCCCAGCGCCATGGGGATGGGCTGGGGATGGGATCCAGGGACCACTGCCCCCATCCATCTTCCCATCCCCTCACCACTGCTTGGAGCCCTCACCTCCAAGGTTGCTGGAAGGGCGACGAGGCAAGCTGCCCTGTGGCTGGGTCTTAGCCTCAGCCCCATGGATATAGGCCTAGGTCATTTCATCCTCTGCATCTTGGCTTCCTTGTGTTAACTTGGGAGGACGCTCCTTGTAGCTCCGATCCCATGCCTTGCCAGGGTGGAGGAGTTGGGGTGCAGGAGTTGCTCCCCCAGAAGCACAAAGCTTGTTGTAGATACCAGGTGGAGGCTCCATGCTGCCCCTCCATACCCTGTCCTCTCCCCATGCCACAGTGCTCTGGAAGCATATGATAGAGGCCCAGGGAGTCCAGGTGACCCAAAGCCTGGACGTCAGTGCCCTGGCCAAGGTGTCTGATGGCTACACACCCGCTAACATTCTCCAAGCCACCCAGTTGGTGCTGAATGAGCGGCGGCTCCTGCAGCTCTCCAAGCGGCCCCTGGTGGCCTCAGAGTTCCTGGGGTACCTGGCGAAGATGGATCCTGTGTATAAGGAGGAGGAGGAGTCCATGAAGGTGTGGCTCCTGGGGACGGGGGCCTGAGGGCCAGCAGTGCCAGCAGGGAGTCAGCCCTCTGGAGTACACCCCGAATCCCTCTCTCTGCTCCCCCAAATAACCAGAAGGTGGTTGGATTAGAGGGAGTTCCGTTTGAGAGGGGAGAGGGAGCACCCAGAGGCCAAGGCATAGGGGGTGTCTGTCCTGGCCTTTTGGGGCTGGGAGCCCAAAGGGGTCCCCTGTGTATTAAGAGCCCTTGGCTGGCTCTGGCAGCTGCGGAACCCATTTCCCGCACCCCTGGGGTAGTGTCTATCCCTGGGGAAAGAGTGGCTTTGAGAGCCCAGGAGAGAGGGCTGCAGGGGTGGAATGGGGGTGCTTCATGGCCTGGAGTGTTCAGCTGGGAGCAAGGGGAACCTCAGCTCTATCAGGAACCCATGCTCTGCGAGAGTGGACAAAACTGGACGCTGGAGAAACAGCGTCCACAAACAGGAAGGGGTGAGGCCAGGGGGGCAGAGCCAAGGTCGAGGTGTGACCCCGTTCCTGCTCCCCTGCCACCCAGGAATGGTACTTCAAGACCCCACTGGGCAGGAAGAACGTGAAACTCGGCAAAGAGCAGATGGAGGCCGAGGAGGCCAAGTTGGCCAGGGAGAAGAAGAAAAAGAAGTGACACCCCAGAAGAGGGGGACGCCAGGCAGTGCCCAGGGGTGAAGGAACCCGGGGCAGAGGCATAAATGCCTAGATGGCTCAGGGCTGGGCTCTCTTGTCCATCCGTCTCCGCGCCTCCTCCACCCCAGCCCCACCCTCATCTGCACCCTGCTCCCCGCCTCCCCGCCTCTCTCTGCTCTGGCTCCCAGATCCTGTTCCTGGCCCTGCCCCCACCCTCACCCTGCTCTCTTCCTCCTCAGGGTGCTTAAGGGAGAGAAACCAGGAAGGCAAGAAGAGAAGGGAGGAGGAGGGTGGCAGTAAAGCCTACTGGAAGTGAAGGGAGCCTGGTTCTAACTCCGCCGCACCGACAGTGCTTTCCTGGTTAAGCCTCCGGCTGCTCTGCTTCTGATCTAATGCCCTGGGAGAGCAATCGGTGATGGCCAAGTACTTGGGCCCTGCCACCCATGTGGGAGACCTGGATTGAGTTCCAGGTTCCTGGCTTCCGCCTGGCCCAGACCTGGCTGTTGAGGCCATCTGGGGCATGAACCAGCAGATGGAAGATGTCTGTGTGTGTGTGTGTGTGTCTCCTTCTCTCTCTAACTCTGCCTTTCAAATAAATAAAATAAATCTTTTTTGGGGGGTGGGGGAACCATGTAGGGAAATGGAGGGTCCATGTAGGGCATGGAGGGGTCAGCACCTTGGACAGGCACTGGGTGGGGGTTAGTACCTGGGATGGGCGTGGTAGAGGGAGGGGTGTCTGTGTGCTGAGCCCTGTTCCCAGGGCAGAAGTCTGTCTTCCAGAGCACCCCTGAGGCCGAGACCCACACAGCAGGGGTGACCTCCTCCTTGGGCTTGGGAGTGGGGAAGGGCATGGCTAATGGACAGGAGGACAGGGAACAGAATTGGGCACCTTCCACTCCTCCTTGTGGGACCGGACAGCGCCCAGACAGCTGGAGGCTGATCTGGCGAAGCAGGTGACAGAGGAGGAGGAGCTGGAGATCCGTGACAAGTCACCTGTGAGTTCTTGGGCAAACGGCTTCCTTTCCTTGGGCCCTGTTTTCCTTCATCACCATGAGATGATGGCCTGGGTGGGTTGGACAGTGTGACTGGGAATGGGCCCTTTTAACCCTGGAGCCCTGGGGGTGGAGCTTGGGGGTGGAGGGCTCCCCCCGCACTCTGGTCTCCTGCTCCTCCCTAATTCCCCTGTCCCCACCCCAACCCCGGAGCAGCTGGCACAGCTGGAGGCTATTTATAGCTGACCGCTGACCGCCTGTGCTGCCTGCTCCTCCCACACTGGGCCCACCTGGCTTGGGGCCCACCGCCCGCCTGCCCAGGCCACCAGCAGTGTTGGGCTGGGTCCCACTGCTTCCGGGTTCTCTCCCAGAAGCTAGCCATGCCCAAGGGAAGACAGTCTCCTGCCCAGGGGGGACACCGATGGGGGTGCCACCCCTCGGCTCCAGCCTGCCCGCTGCTGTGCCGTGACATGGCCCTGCAGAATGCCCTCTACACAGGGGACCTGGCCAGGCTGCAGGAGCTGTTCCCCCCCTGTAGCACAGCCGACCTGCTGCTGGAGAGCCGGGCTGCGGAACCTCGCTGGACCAGCCACCAGAGGGGTGAGGGGCCACAGGGGGAGCCTTCGGGGGCTGGGCTCATGGCCTCAGACACAGAGGTTGCAGGGCTGGAGGGAAAGGAGAAGCCCCTGGCTGTTTCTCCCCCACCCCAGAGCTTGCTTGCCAGGCCTAGCCTTGGCCCAGGAGGGAAGTCATGCGGAGCCCAGAATAGCTCACGCTGCACCGCGTGGCCAGGTCAGCCGGAGCTTGGCGCAGGGAGCCCTTCTGCCTCCGTCGGTCTGGGTTCCCCTCCTACCCGGGTGGCCTCTGCCTCTGCACCCCTCCCCACGTGCTCATGAGCTGGGCCCCGGAGGAGTGCCGGGGGCAGGGAGGGCTGCCCGGTGACAATCATGCCCTCTGTGCCAGGCTGGTGGAGAAGCCCAATAGGGGGTCCGAGGAGCAGCCTGAGTCTGGCCCGGCACCCATCGTCACCCGCACGGCCACGGGACCTGCCCTGGACTTCTGGCAGGCACTGCTGGCTGGGGACGTGGGCTCCGTCTCCCGCATCCTCTCGGACTCCGGCACCGGCCTGGCTCCTGATTCCATCTTTGACACCAGCGACCCAGAGCGATGGAGGGATTTCCGCTTCAACATCCGTGCTCTGAGTATGGGCCGGGGCGGGGTGGGGGTGCCCTGAGAGGGGGGCCTGAGCGGGAGAGGGGAGGCTGCAGCCCCAGCTCTGGGCGCCCTCGTCCCACCCCTGCCGTCTCAGCCCACTCAAGACTACGCTTTGCCTCCCATCGGCATCTGAGGCCCATGTCCCTCTCTCCCCTAGGACTCTGGTCCCTAACCTACGAAGAGGAGCTGACCACGCCGCTGCACGTGGCAGCCAGCCGCGGCCACACGGACGTTCTGCGGTTTCTGCTGAGGCGTCGAGCGCGGCCGGACAGCGCCCCCGGGGGCCGCACTGCCCTGCACGAGGCCTGTGCTGCCGGCCATGCCGCCTGCGTCCATGTGCTGCTCGTGTCGGGCGCTGACCCCAACCTCCCAGACCAGGATGGGAAACGCCCTTTGCATCTTTGCCAGGGGGCTGGCACCGTTGAGTGAGTGACTCCTCACCCCAGGCCTGAGTCTGCTCTCAGGGAGAACAAGGAGACCCTCTCAGGGAGCAGGGGGCGAGTCAGAGGCTCTGTGGGTAGGGGGAGGAGTTCGGTTTGGGCCAGGCATCAGGAGGCAAAGACTCCCCATCCAAGCCATCCAACCACTGACTCCTCTCCTCCCTGCCCTGGAAATTTGCAGTGACCTGAACTTGAACTTGGGACAGTTTTCTGGTTCCCCAGGGGGAGGGAGGGCGTGGAAGGGGCTCAGATGTAAACCTCCCCTGGGGAAGGGTGTCACTGTAAAGTCTGTATTTTGTCTAAGCTTGTCTGATGTTCTAGGCACTGTGCTAAATACAGGAGCGACCATCTGGGGGTCCTGCCTTCAGGGGGCTCACTGGCCTGTGCTCCAGACAGGCTGGACAGGGCCTGCTGTGTCCCTGAGGGGAGGGTCTGGCTCTCAGCTTGGCAGGTGTGACTTCTGTGTGGGCAGAGCACCCTCAGATAAAGGGACTCTCACAAGCCAAACTCCCAAGCAGCAGGCTGGGGACACCCCAGTGTGTCCATGTGGTGTTTACTGCAGGGAGGATTCCTTTGCAGGGACCCAGGTAACGTCAGCCTCTGTACAGGGAGCCCCAGGAGCCGAGTCCCCACCACGGGCAGTTTTTGGTGAAGCTTCGGGAGCCTTGGCAACTTTATGAGCTAGCTCAGCCTGCAGCAGAGGCCCCTCCACTCACCGCATGCTGCTGGCTTCTCCTTCCGCCTCTGAAGGTGTCACTGGGGTCGTTAACCTTCTCAGCCCCAGAGGATTCCAGGAGTTGTCTGTGGGGGTGATCCAGTAGACAGCTACTGGGAGCCGCGTTCATGATTGTTTTCTGTTGCTACCACAAAATCCCCAAGACTGGGTAATTTGTTAAAGTGTAGAATTCCTTTGGCCCACAGTTCTGGAGTCTGGGATGTTCAAGTTCAAGTTCAAATTCAAGGCACCAGCAGGAGCTCAGCATCCAGCGAGGGCCTCATGCAGCATCGTAATCTGGCAAGGGCATCACAGGGGGTGACAGAGCTAGTGGCTTTGTCAGTCCCTCATCTCCTTATAAAGCCATGGGGGCTGCACCTTAATCACTTTTTCTAACCTAATTACCTCCTGAGGGCCTCACCTCCAACCCATAATAAATCCCTATGGGGATTGTCAGATTTTTGTTTAATTACTTATTTTATTTGAAAGGCAGGGATACAGAGAGAGAAAATGACAGAAAGATATCTTCCATCTGCTGGTTCTCTCCCCAAATGCCCTCAAGACCTGGACCTGGGCCAAGCCAAAGCGAGGAGCCAGGAACTCAATCTGAGTCTCCCACATGGGTGGCATGGACCCAATCACTTGAGCCATCACCTGCTGCCTCCCAGGTGTGCATTATCAGGAAGCTGGAGTTGGGAGCACAGCCAGGACTTGAACCCAGGCCCTCCAATGTGGGAAGCACCATCTTAACCACCTTGCCAAACCCCCTTCCAATTACTAGGTCTCTAATTTTTTTTTAAGATTTATTCATTTATTTGAAAGAGTTACACAGAGAGAGAAGGAGAGGCAGAGAGGGAGAGGTCTTCCATTCACTGGTTCACTTCCCAATTGGCCGCAATGGCCAGAACTGCACTGATCTGAAGCCAGGAGCCAGGAGCTTCTTACGGGTCTCCCACATGAGTGCATGGGCCCAAGGACTTGGGCCATCTTCCACTGCTTTTCCAGGCCATAGCAGGGAGCTGGATCAGAAGTGGAGCAGCTGGGACTCAAAACGGCGCCCATATGGGATGCCGGCACTGCAGGCGGTGCCTTTACCTGCTTCACCACAATGCTGGACCCTACTAGGTTTCTAACAAGTGGACTTTGTGGGGCACATTCAAACCATAGCAGCAATTTAGTCCTAGCTCTGTTTCCAACTCTAGCTTCCTGATAATGTTGACCCCGGGAGGGGGCAGATGCTGGCTCAGGTACTGGGCTGCTGCCACCCTCATGGAAGACCTGGATTAAGTTCCTGGTTCCTGGGAGCTGGTGCTGTGGTGTAGTCAGTAAAGCCACGGCCTGCACCACCAGCATCCCATGTGGGCGCTGGTTTGTGTCCCGGCTGTTCCACTTCCAATCTAGCTCTCCATTAATGGCCTGGGAAAGCAGAGAAGATGGCTCAAGTGCTTGGACCTCTACACCCACACAGGACACCTGGAGGAAGCTCCTGGCTCCTGGCTTTGACCGGGCCTAGTCCTGGTTCTTTCAGCCCTTTGGGGAATGAACCAGCAGATGGAAGATCTCTCTCTCTCTCTCTCTCTCTCTCTCTGTCTCTCTGTCTCCCTCTCTCTCTGTCTCTCTGTCTCCCTCTCTCTCTCTCTCTGTCTCTGTCTCTCTGTCTCCCTCTCTCTCTGTCTCTGTCTCTCTCTCTGTGACTCTGACTTTAAAATAAATAAATCTTAAAAAATAATAATAATAAAGTTCCTGGATCCTGGCTTTGACCTGGCCCAGCCCTAGCTCTTGGGGGGCATCTGAGGAGTGAATCAGCCAATGAAAGATCTTGTTCTCCATCTCTCTGCCTTCCAAATAAAAATAAATAAATAAATAATTTTTAAAAGGAGAATTTGAATTTTCCATGAACTTTTTAAAGCTTTTTTTTTTTTCAAAAAAGGTATTAATTTTACTTGAACAACAGAGAGGGACACACAGAGACAGAGGCTTTCCATATTTCACATTCTTTTGCACTAAGTCTTCATGGCTGGCGTGCACTGACCCTCACAGCACGTGTCCCGTAGGACTAGTAACAGCACAAGTGGCGGCTGCTGTGTGGGCCAGCAGGGCTCTGCACAATCCCACACTTCTAGTTCTGGCCGTGCTGCAGCCCAGACTCCCCAAGGTTACCCCAGTGAGAATCACTCCTTCCTTTCTTGAGTGAATGAATGTGCTTTTAGAATTATGGAGAATCTCACACACACAGAAGGGTGTCCAGGAAGGTGTAATGAGTGCCTGCGATCTGTCTCCACCCACACCCCCCATCCCCACCAAAGGCTGCCATTTTTATTTATTTATTTATTTGAGAGACAGAGTTACAGACACAGAAAGGACAGAGAAAGGTCTTCCATCTGCTGGTTCACTCCCCAAATGGTTGCAATGGCTGGAGCTGGGCCAATCCGAAGCCAGGAAGCCAGAAGCTTCTTCTGGGCCTCCCACGCAGGTGAAGGGGCCCAAGCTGTTGGGCCATCTTGTACTGCTTTCTCAGACCTAAGCAGAGAGCTAGATCAGAAGAGGAGCAGCTGGGACTTGAACCAGCACCCATATGGAACGCTGGTGCTACAGGCGCAGGCTTAGCCAACTATACCACAGTTGCTGGCACCTGCCAGTGTCTTATTAATTGTCCCCATATGACACCTGAGGAAACTGGAGCTCCAAGAAGCTAAGCTGTCTCAGCCTTGAGCGTTGGTGCACCTGTCGCTGTGACCCTCATGCCCCGCCCCTGTGCCATTTCCCCCCAAGGCTGTTTAAAGCCAGTCTGGTCTGTCACCTCTGGCTTTGCTGTTCTTTATCTCACTCCCCCCAATTCCATTTAGGCCCCTGCCAGGCCCCAGGCCCCAGCTTCCTCCTAGTCCCAGGACACTGAGCCCTCGAGCTGCCCTGCTGCCCGTGGCCCTGAGTGCCTGGTGCTCCCCTGGCTCGCCGTGTGAATCCTGCAGAGGCTTGGAGGTGTCACCTGGGATGTGAGTGGGACAGTTGTGGGCGTGAACTGAGCTGATCCACGCACAGCCCTTAGAAGCGCACCTGTTCTGTGTGGTGACCACTTACGGAGGAACGAGCAGACTCTTCTGTGGAAAGCATGGGCTTTAAAGAAAGCAACTGGGGGCCGGCGCTGCGGCTCACTAGGCTAATCCTCTGCCTTGCGGCGCCGGCACACCGGGTTCTAGTCCCGGTCAGGGCACCAGATTCTGTCCCGGTTGCCCCTCTTCCAGGCCAGCTCTCTGCTGTGGCCAGGGAGTGCAGTGGAGGATGGCCCAAGTACTTGGGCCCTGCACCCCATGGGAGACCAGGAGAGGCACCTGGCTCCTGCCATCGGATCAGCATGGTGCGCCGGCCACAGTGCGCCGGCCGTGGCAGCCATTGGAGGGTGAACCAACGGCAAAGGAAGACCTTTCTGTCTCTCTCTCTCTCACTGTCCACTCTGCCTGTCAAAAAAATAAAAATAAAAAAAAAAGCCACTGGGGGTCCTGCAGAACGTTGCTGGAATGACCAGTGACAGACCAAGGGAAGTGGGCGGGGGCAGGACCAGGAGCCATCCGCGGGCCCTGCTGTTTGCTTTGCCCACGCCGGCAGGAAGGCAGGGGTCTGTGCCCACCTCCATCTCGCCTTCACCAGGTGTGCGGAGCTGCTCCTCAAGTTTGGGGCGAGAGTGGATGGTCGGTCTGAGGAGGAAGAGGAGACCCCTTTACACGTGGCTGCGCGGCTTGGCAACGTGGAGTTGGCAGACCTGCTTCTAAGACGGGGGGCCTGCCCCGACGCCCGCAATGCTGAAGGCTGGACTCCTCTCCTGGCCGCCTGCGATGCCCGCTGCCAGTGCCCCGCTGACGCCGAGGCCACCAGCACCCGCTGTCTCCAGCTGTGCCGCTTGCTGCTCTCGGCTGGAGCAGACGCCGACGCTGCCGACCAGGACAAGCTGCGGCCCCTGCACCTTGCCTGTCGCCGTGGCCACGCGGCTGTGGTGGAGCTGCTCCTGTCCTGTGGCGTCAGTGCTAACGCCATGGACTACGGGGGCCACACAGCCTTGCACTGTGCTCTGCAGGGCCCGGCAGCAGCCCTGGCCCAGAGCCCAGAGCGCATGGTACGGGCTCTGCTCAACCATGGCGCTGTCCGAGTCTGGCCGGGGGCCCTCCCCAAGGTATGAAGGCTGGAGGCAACAAGAGGGCCACATTGGTAAGGGGACAGGGGACTTAGAAGTGCGCTGAAGCTTGCTTTGGAATGTAGCAGGAACATGGGCCGTAAAGCAGTTCCTCTGTCTTCATTAACAAAGTATGCAAAGTCCACGTGGGAGTATAGGTGAGGGTACCAGCAGGCAGCATGTGTGTGCATGCACCTGCGTATGCATATATGTGTGTACATGTGTGCATGCATGTGTGTGCATGTGTGTGTGTGGTGAAGGAGGACTGAGAGCTGTGCATGCATGTGTGTGCATGTGTGTGTGTGAGATCCAGGAGGACTGACAGCAGTGGGGCCAGATTTTAAAGGATCTGAACAGACAGGAGGGGTCAGAGCCAATGTGGATGGCAGGGTGTGGTTTGAGGGTAGCAAGTGGCTAGAGGCAGTGTCTGAGGCGGCTCTGACCCTCAGTGCAGTCCACCAGTGAGAGGCACCTTGGGCCACAGGAGAGGTTTGGCCAGGGCAGAGCGTGCACCCCTCTCTTAAGGCCTCCCAAACATCTGAAAACAGCCAGGATCCAATCTTCCAAAAACAGTGGCCGCTATCCCAATGCCTGGGGAAGCCCCAACTCTCTCTGTCAGGTTTTTACTGTACAGGGTCTCACTTGAAGCTCTATACTCCTGATGCCTGGCAGGGGGGAGGGGTTGTCCCATGCTGAGTCAGCTCAGGAGGGCACCCCGTGGGAGCCTGGGCCTGGGGTGGGGTCACCCGTGCTAGGAGGAGATGGGGGAGATGGGTTTGGGCTGTGGGTGGATCCCCTGTCCACCCCGCCATAATGGGGCTTGTGCTGCCCAGCCTGTCCCTGCCCTGGGCCCACCCTGCTGTCCCCGCCTTGCCCCTTCCCTCACGAACACCGAAGCATCTGTCTGGATTCCTAAGCAAGACCAAATTAAACAGCCCAAGAGTTCGGCAGATTGGTCTCCCCTTTGGGAAAATACAAGAAAATCAACAATTAACACTAATTAATCTCCTATTAACACCAGATAATTAGGAGCCGAGTAATTCCCTGTAATCTGACTGCGGCTCTGACAGCTAATGATTTCCCCGTCGGGCGGGAGGGGGGCGAGGCGAGGCTGCAGCAAAAGGGTTCCCCCGGACCCCACAGGGCTGCCCAGCGCCCTGCTCTCCTCCTGAGCCTGTCTTGGGGACCTAGCGGGCAAGCAGGTCCCATCTGTTCCTTTCTCATGATCAGCAGCTCTCTGGCTCAGGGCTCCTGTCCTGCAAGGAGGACCCTCGGTGATGACATGCCAGCCCCAGCCACTTCTCTAGGATTTGCCATGTTGGATTTGGCACTCAGGAGACCTGGATCCAGGAGCTGGCGCTTTAAAATATTTATTTATTTTCATTTTATTTGAAAGGCAGAAAGACAGATTGGGCAGTGGGTTAAGCCCTGGCCTGCAGTGCCGGCATCCCATATGGACGCCGGCTCAAGTCCCAGCTGTTCCAGTTCCAATCCAGCTCCCTGCCAATGTGCCTGGGAAAGCAGTAGAAGATGGCCCAAGTGCTTAGGCCCCTGCACCCATGTGGGAGACCTGGAAGGAGCTCCTGGCTCTTGGCTTCAGATCCGCTCATCTCTTGCCATTTTGGCCCTTTGGGGAGTGAACCAGCAGATGGAAGACCTCTTTCTCTGTTTGTATGCTTTTACCTCTCTTTGTAACTGTCTTTCAAAAAATAAAATTTTCAAAAAAAAAATCTTCCATCTGCTGATTCACTCCTCAAAATGCCAGCAATAGCCAATAGCTAGGCTGAAGTCTGGAGCTTAGAACTCAGTCTGGGTCTCCCGTGTGGGTGGCAGGGACCCAAGGACTTGAGACATCACAGCTGCCTCCCAGGGAGCGCAGTAGGAAGCTGGATTGGGGCCGGCACCGCGGCTCAATAGGCTAATCCTCCACCTGTGGTGCCGGCACCCCGGGTTCTAGTCCCGGTTGGGGTGCTGGATTCTGTCCCAGTCGCTCCTCTTCCTGTCCAGCTCTCTACTGTGGCCCGGGAGTGCAGTGGAGGATGGCCCAAGTCCATGGGCCCTGCACCCCATGGGAGACCAGGAGAAGCACCTGGCTTCTGGCTTCGGATCAGCGTGGTGCACCAGCCACAGTGTGCTGGCCGCAGTGGCCACTGGGGGTGAACCAACGGAAAAGAAAGACCTTTCTCTCTGTCTCTCTCTCTCTCACTGTCCACTCTGCCTGTCCAAAAAAATAAAATAAAATAAAAAATTAAAAAGGAAGCTGGATTGGAAGCAGAGCTGGGGCTTTGAACCAGGCAATTTGATGAGGGGGCAGGCATCCCAAGCAGGGACCTAGCTGTGGTGAACCCCTGCCCCCAGGGTCTGGTGTGCAATGGTGGGCAAGTCACTGAAACTCTTTGAATCCCAAGCTCCTTGTGTGTGATACAGACTCCACCTTCCAGGGATGAAAAGCTGTAGGAGCCAAATGGAGAAAGGAGGACGCACAGGCTACTTTTACTTGGGGTCCTTCAGTGCCCCCAGCAGTGACTAAGAGTACAGGCCCTGGAGCCAGACACCCCACCTGTGTGAGCCTATGTGAGTTGCTTAATTTATCTGAGTCTCAGTTTTCTCATCTGTAAATACAGGTAAAGCAATGCACCTGCTTTATTGGGTTAGTGTGGGAAGTAGAATTAACACAAATGTGCCCTTGGTCAGGGACTAACCCCCAGTTAGTGCTTGATACCTGTTAGCTGGCATTACACATTCTGAGGGTAAATAATGTCTGTGAAAGCATTTGCTGTGCTATTAGGCACCATCTCAGTAGAAGGTATCATTAGACATGGGAAGCAATGCAGGCTGCAGTTGCTACACAGGCTTCCTGGGGGAGGCAGGACCTGGGACAAGAAGGCAGGGGAAGGAGCTAGCATTCCTGGCAGGGTGAGCCTCTTTATTGTTTTAAGATTTATTTATTTATTTGAAAGTCAGAGTTACACAGAGAGAGAAGGAGAGGCAGAGAGAGAGAGAGAGAGAGAGAGAGAGAGAGAGAGAGAGAGTCTTTCATCCGATGGTTCACTCCCCAAATGGCTGCAATGGCTGGAGCTGCACCAATCCGAAGCCAGGAGCCAGGAGCTTCTTCCAGGTCTCCCACGTGGGTGCAGGGGTCCAAGGACTTGAATCATCTTCTACTGCTTTCCCAGGCCATAGCAGAGAGCTGGATCGGAAGTGGAGCAGCCAGGACTTGAACCGGAGCCCACATGGGATGCCAGCACTGCAGGTGGCAGCTTTACCTCCTATGCCACAGCGCCACCCCACCCCACCCCCCCAGAGTGAGCCTCTTGAGCAGAGTGTAGAGGCAGGGATACACATGGGGCCAGGGAGGAGGACAAGGCCAGCCTGGACAGCAGACAGCAGTAGCAGTCACCAGCATGCTCTTTCCTATCTCTAAGGAGTTGGCTAGAGAGGCCTGCCCTGGACAGATGGGGCTATGGTAGCTATGGTATGCATAGCCCAGATACAGAGCAAGAATCAGAGGGCCTGTGTGTATGAAATGTTTGCTCCAAAGACCCTGTGTCCTAGACAAAGCATGGCCTTCCAGCTGCTCCCACAACCCCCCCTGCCCCAGCCTGCCAGACAGAAGCAGCCCTCCTTAGACGCAGGAGATTGAACAGCTCCCCGTCCCGTCCCCCCCCCTCCCCGCTCCAATGCTATATGCAGTTGTGTGTGTTTGGGGTAGGCACAGGTTAAGTGGGGGGACACTGCCTGGGAGACGGCACTTGGCTGTTTTCAGATCTTGCACAGGCTCTGTGGTGACTGCCTGCAGTTTGAGGGCCAGTGGGAGCTGGAGTGAAGAAAGCATGGAGGAGCTACCAGGGTCCCAGTGCAGGCACCACAGGCATCCTGGCACCTGCGTGTGTCTGGCCTGTGGCTGCCTCGCTGGCCATGTGCTGGCCATGTGGGTGGTGCCTCCGTGGCTGCTGTAGCTGCATGTATAGCCTTTTTCCTCACTGCACCAAGCCATCCACCCCTCCATCCAGGACGGTGCCCTCCCCAGCCACACTCAGTGCCCTGACCCCACTCTGCAGTAGCGAGTCCCCGAGTGCCGATTTATGTGCAGTGTCTCCCCTCTGAAATAGAAGCGTCTTGTCTGTTCTCCTCACCGATGGATCCCCGGCGCTGGGCTCATGGTAGGCCCTCAGGAAATATTTGCTGAATTAGAACATGAAAGAATGAATTTGGCTCCAGCTCATCCCACTCACGTTCCTACCAAAAGCCCTCCACAGCTGCCATGGGGCCTCCTACACCAGGTGTCTGGTTGCTTGTCCCTGTTCACTCAATGCCCTCCTGGCTCCTTATCCTCACCGCAGAGCCCAAGACCCCTTCTCCAAATTGGGCAGATTCTGCTCCATATACTGACTGTGCTTTTTTTTAGTTTGAAAATCAGAATTACAGAGAGAAAGGAAAAGAGAAAGAGAGAGAGAGAGAGGGCGCGCCTCCATTTGCTGGTTCACTCTTTAGATGGCAGTGGTGGCTCAGGCCTTTAGCAGGGAGCTGGATTGGAAGTGGAAGTGAGGCAGCTGGGACGTGAACTGGTGCCTATATGGGAAAGGGATGCTGGTGTCACAGGTGGTAGCTTTACCCATTATGCTAAAACACTGATGACTCCTGAGCTTTTTTAAAAACAATATTTTTATTTATTTGAAGGGAGGGAGGGAAGAAGAGAGAGAGGGAGGAAGAGAGAGAATTAGAGAGAGAGAAAAAGAGAGGGAGAATCTTCCATCCTCGACTGCCCCACAATAGCTGGGACTGGACCAGGTTGAAGCCAGGAACCAGGAACTCAGTCTGGGTCTTCCACGTGGGTGCACAGACGCAACACTTGAGCCATCACCTGCTGCCTCCCCAGGGGCCCATTAGCAGGAAGCAGGAAGTGGAAGTGGAACAGGGACTTGAACCCAGCACTCTGATATGGGCATCCCAAGCAGTTCCTTAACATCTACACCAAATGCTTGCCCCGATTGAGCTTTTTTTTTTTTTTTAAGATGTATTTATTTGAAAGTCAGAGGGGCCGGCACCATGGCGCAGTAAGTTAATCCTCTGCCTGCGGCGCCAGCATCCCATATGGGCTCCAGTTGTAGTCCCGGCTGCCCCTCTTCCAATACAGCTCTGCTATGGCCTGGGAAAGCAGTGGAAAATGGCCCAAGTCCTTGGGTCCCTGCACCCACATGGGAGACCTGGAAGAAGCACCTGGCTCCTGGCTTCAGATTGGCACAGCTCCAGCCTTTGTGGCCATCTGGGGAGTTAACCAATGGAAGGAAGACCTTTCTCACTGTTTCTCCATTTCACTGTCTGTAACTCTACCTCTCAAATAAATAAATAAAATCTTTAAAAAAAAAAAGTATGACAAAGAGAGAAGAGGCAGAAAGAGAGAGGTCTTCCATCCGCTGCTTCACTCCCCAGTTGGCCATAAAGGAGTCAAGAGCTTCCTCTGGGTCTTCCCACACGGGTGCAGGGGCCCAGGGTCTTGGGCATCTTCTACTGCTTTCCCGGGCCACAGCAGAGAGCTGGATTGGAAGAAGAGCAGCTGAGACTTTTTTGGCCATGTGGGATGCTGGCACTGCAGGCAGTGGCTTCACCCGCTATGCCACAGCACCGGCCCCCGAATGTTTTTTTTTTTTTTTTGAAGATTTATATTATTTATTTGAAAGTCAGAGAGAGGTAGAGCCAGAGAGAGAGAGAGAGGTGTCTTCCATCCACTGGTTCACTCCCCAAATGACTGTAATTGCCAGAGCTGAGCTGATCTGAAGCCAGGAGCTAGGAGCTTCTTCCAGGTCTCCCACATGGCTTCAGGGGCCCAAGGACTTGAGCCATCTTCCACTGCTTTCCCAGGCCATAGCAGAGAGCTGGATCAGAAACAGAGCAGCTGGGACTAGAACCGGCACCCATATGGGATGCTGGTGCTGCAGGCCACGGCTTTAGCCTGCTGCACCACAGCGCCAGCTTCCGATTGATTTTTTATCTGCTGAACATCTCCAACTCGTGGCCTGGGGCCCTTTTCTGACTGGCAGAAAATCCAGCCCAGACCGTGCAGAGGCAGGCAGGAGAGCAGGATGGTGCAGTGGTTAAGGGCAAGCAGCTGCTCTGCCAGGCTGGGACTGCCGGACCTTCCACAGGGCAAGTTATGTGACTTCCCAGTGCCTCAGCTTCACTTGTCTGCAAACCGAGGGTAAGAGCTCACACGGTGCGGGTACAAGGATCAAGCGTTCATCCCTGGAAAGCGTCTCAGTGAGGCACAACAGAAATGTTAGGTGTTGGCTTCCCAAGACAACTGTAGCTTGGCCCTCTGTTTTGGAGGCTGGGAGCATGAAACCCAGGTGTTGGCAGGCCTTGAGAGAACGCTGTCTCCTGCCTGTCTCCTAGTTTCTGGTGGTTGCCCACAATCCTTGGCGTTCCTCGGCTTGCAGACCCCACTCCAATGCCTGCCTTTGTCATCCAGCCTTCCCCACTGTTGGATGGGTCTGGAACCCACAAGGACACCAGGGCTAGATTAGGGTTCTACCCTAGCGACATCACCGTAACCCGAGTCTATCTGCAAAGACCCTATTTCCAAAGGGCACATTGTCGGCACCAGGGGTTAGAACTTCGATCTGTCTTTTTGGGGGACCAAACGCAAGCCACAGCAGCTGTGCTAGAGTGGTCTGGCCAGCCTGCATGGGCCGGTTGGGAGCCTGGCTCGTCTCTGCCTCCTGTAGGTGCTGGAGCGCTGGTGCACATCCCCGCGGACCATCGAGGTCCTGATGAACACCTACAGCGTCGTGCAGCTTCCCGAGGAGGCCGTGGGCCTGGTGCCCCCTGAAACTCTGCAGGTCAGACCCCAGAACCCTGGGCAGTCACTCGGCCCAGTCCTGAGGGGCTGTCACCCCCAACAACGCAGCCCTCTCAGTCCCCCAGAGACCCACTCAGGTCCCAGAAGAAGAGGACTTGCAGAGTGAACACCCAACGTGTTCACTGCTTCTAGCAGGTTCCTTGTAGACACAGCAGTGGTGGCTGCCCTGCCCGTTAGGAGGAACGGGCGCCATCTGCCAAGGCTGCCCCTCACCGAGCCCCTCCTTCTGCTTCCAGAAGCACCAGCGTTTCTACGGCTCCCTCTTCGCCTTGGTGAGGCAGCCCCGCTCGCTGCAGCACCTGAGCCGCTGCGCCCTCCGCTCTCACCTGGCCGGCTGCCTGGCCCACGCCCTGCCCCGCCTCCCCCTCCCGCCCCGTCTGCTCCGCTACCTGCAGCTTGATTTTGAAGATGTGCTCTATTAGGTGAGGCCTGGTCACAGCGTTTGGGGGCAGGGTGGGTAGGTGGTCGGTGGGAGGTGAGAGAAGGGTCGGGATGGGCCCTCGCCAGAACCACGCCCCACCCCACCCACCACATCCACACTTCTCCTTGCAGATGTGCCTTTTGAGAGAACTTGCAAGTGGATGCCCAAGTCCATCAGCGGCACCCCCTCTGCACGGCCAGGGCCAGGCGGCCCCGTCATCTCTGTGGGCGGGTGATGAAGGAGTTGGGACCTACAGCAAGTGACACACTCCTCTTGGGGCTCTCCTGAGGGCCCCCCTAGCCCAGCCAACTCTGTACGTGCATTAAAAATCTGCTGTTTGCTGGCGCCATCTCCAACAGGCCTTCCGCAAGCTGGTTTGGAGTCAGGGTGGACTGACTTATGGGGGGCCACACTTGCCCCACAGTGCCGGCTGCCTCACCTATCCACTTTGGCAGCCATCAAGCGGTGAGGGATTCCCAAGCTGTCCCTGGGGACCCCTGAAATGGCAGAATGGCCACCAGGTGAGACAGTGCCAGAGAAGGACTGAAGAATGGGCAGAGCCAGAGTGGCCTGAAGCACCGGCATCCCATATAGGCACCGGTTCAAGTCCCAGCTGCTCCACTTCTGATCCAGCTCTCTGCTGTGGCCTGGGAAAGCAGTAGAAGATGGCCCAAGTCCTTGGGCCCCTGAACCCATGTGGGAGACCGGCAGAAGCTTCTGGCTCCTGATTTTGGATCGGCCCAGCTCTGGCTGTTGTGGCCATTTGGGGAGTGAACCAGTAGATGGAAGACCTCTCTCTCTCTCTCTATCTCTCTCTCTCTCTATCTCTCTCTCTGTAACTGTCTTTCAAATAAATAAAAATAAATCTAAAAAAAAGCTTTTGGAAGATTTATTTCTTTGAAAGGCAGAATAACAGTGGAGAGAGAGAGAAGAGAGATTTCTCTTCTCTGGTTCACTCCACAAATGCTCCCAACAGCCCAGGCTGGGCCATGGGGAAGCCAGGAGCCGGGAACTGCATCTGGGTCTCCCAGACCCAAGCATCATTTGCTGCTCTTCCAGGCGCATTAGCAGGAAGCTGGATCGGAAGTGGAGCAGAGAGGACTCAGTGCTCCGATATGGGACGCAGCTGTCACCGCAGTGGCTTAACCTGCTGTGCCGCAGCACCTGCGCGCTCCTCCTTTGGGCGCTCACTATTAAATGCAGCTTTGGCAACCAGACATTGAGCAGACAGACCCGGGTTCTAGTCTTCACTCTGCCACTAACATATAGTGGAACATGAGTCACTTGCCCTCTCTGAGCCCACATTTCTGCACCCGTAAAACAAGAAAGCAGTAGGGTCTCTGAGGGCCGTTACAGTCCCAAGACTTTAGCAAACTTAACAGAGGCCCCAGCAGCCGGGACCCGCCCAGCAACCACAGGCGGAAGCGGGCGCTGTGGGAAGCCGCAGAGCAGCCAATCAGGTGCACTGTGACGTGTGACGTCAAGGGTCGCCGGACAGATTACCCAGGACTCTGGAGTGCGCATGTGCCAGAGCTAGCGGTGTCAAAGGGTGGGAGCGGGAGGGCGCGAGGCTGGGTGCTGGGCCAGGAGGACTCGAAGCCGGTGGCTGCGAGGAGCTGAGTGCCAAGCCCGGAGGACGGTGAGAGGCAGATGAGAAGGGGAGTGGAGGTGAGTGGTGGACCCGGGGCCCACCTGCCTGTCTGGACTGAAGGTTCAGGGGCACCACCACTCCGGGGCCTGGGGGCTCCAGGCCAGCTGGAGGGTCCGCTAATGGATGGGACCCTCAGCTGGAGAAATTCCGGGCTGACCCTGAATCCACCGGCCCCATGTCACAAGGGTGAAGGTCAAAGGTCAGGAAGTAGGGGGGGTCTTCACTATTCAGGGCCTGCTGGGGGGGCTCTCTTGGAGATCCCACCCCGTCCTGGGTGTGAGGATTCTTTGAGAACCTACCGTGTTCCGGGCTCCACAGGAAGGCAGATGCACTGGAGCTTGCTCGCTAGTGGGAACAGGAAACGGCCAACAGGGGGGCAGCATCAGATGGTGGGGAGCACCGAGGAGAGAGACGCCAAAGGGGGGTGCCACAGAGGAGTGACCAGGCCGCTTCCTCTTGGAGCCGTGAGAGCAGAGTGGGGAAGGGGCGGGGATAGCACGAAGGGGGTTAGGTATCGGAAGATCTCTCTGGCCAGAGAATCAGAGAGACCAGGTGGTCTCCACAGCAGTGGTCAGGCAAGAGCTGGGGTAGTAGCTGGTGAGAACCGATGGGGCGATGATGGGGCTTGAAGGAAGACATCAGCGGGGTGACCCCTAGCAGTTTGGGCTCCAACGACTGCATGGGTGACGGCGCTGGTTACCAAGGTGGGGAGATGAGGAAGGAACAGGAGTCCAGAGGTCTGTGTTGGGTATGTTCAACCGCAGCTGCCTATTCGTCCCCTCCGGGGGGCTGTGCTCAGGGGGAGGGCAGGTCTGGCCACGTGCATGTGGGTTCCTGGCCTGGGGAAGGTGGAGCCCTTCCCTAAGGGAATCCTGACTCCCAAGGGGGGCCCCTCCCAAGAGTCCTGCGGATGCTTTTGATGGAAATCCTAATTAATCTCATCCGCTTCTTGAGCTGCCGGGTTTAGGTCCTAGCTACCCTGCTATGCATGAGACATGCTTCTGTCCTCAGTGGATTTTCAATCTACCCTGTGAGAGAAGTGTGTGAACAACCAGCTAGAATGCAAGGAGCAATGAAACCGATTCAGAACAAGTGAGGGGGCCAGCACCATGATGTAACCATTAATGCTGCCACCTGCAGTGCTGGCATCCCATATGGGCACTGGTTTGAGTTCTGGCTGCCCCACTTCCAATCCAGCTCTCTGCTGTGGCCTGGGAAAGCAGTAGAAGATGGCCCAAGTCCTTGGGCTCCTGCACCCATGTGGGAGACCTGGAAGAAGCTCCTGGCTCCTGGCTTCAGATAGGCACAGCTCCAGCTGTGGTGACTAATTAGGGAGTGAACCAGCAGATGGAAGACCTCTCTCTCTCTCTCTCTCTCTCTCTCCCTCCCTCCCTCCCTCCCTCCCTCCCTCTGCTTCTGCCTCTCTGTAACTCCACCTTTCAAATAAATCTTTAAAAAAACAAAGTGAGGGGCAGAAGCTGCAGGTGTGGAGAGGAAGGCAGAGAACAGGGCAGGAGTCTGGGAAGAATTCACAAGTGTGTCTTCTCCAAGGGAGGGGTTCTGGCTGTATGGGGAGAGCATTGAATAATAGGATGCCTCTTTGGAAAACTTATCTCACAAGAGAGCGACAGAGAGAGAAAGAGACAAAGAGAGGTCTTCCATCTGCTGGTTCACTCCTCGATGGCTGTAACAGCCGGGGCTGGGCCAGGTGGAATCCAGGAGCCAGAACTCCATAGGTCGCCCTTTGCAGGAAGAGAGGGAGGGGAGGAGGGGTGTGGAGTGAGCAGCACTAGGGGGCTGTGCCCACCCTCATGCCTTGTCCTCTTAGCAAGGCAATGCTAGAAAGATCCTTTCTGGGGTGAGACATGCAGACACTTGTGAGCCAGGGAGCTTCCTCCCCAGCCTCCTGGCTGCTGGTCCCGCGGGCCCAGAACCTCTCCCCGGTAATTGCTTTCCATAATGTGTTTGCTCCAAACCAATTTCACGCCTCTGTGAGGACTCCGCCCTGCACTGGAGGCACGGACCTCCCCACCACCAGCCTACCCACGTGTGAACTGGTGGCTCACACACACAGCACACGCTGAGCACA